AAGCCCCGCGTTGGGCTCTGTGCTAACAGCTTGGAACCTGGACCCCACTTCGGATTCTGTGTCTCCCTCTTTCTGACCCTCCCCTCTTCATGCTCTGTCTCTCCCTGTGTCAAAAATAAATAAACGTTAAAAAAAAAAAATTAAAAAAAAAAAGTTAAAAAAAAATTTTTTTTAATTGTACAGTTTTAGGGGCGCCTGTGTGGCCCAGTCAGTTAAGCATCTGACTCTTGGTTTCGGCTCAGGTCATTATCTCATTGTTCGTGAGTTCAAGCCCCTCATTGGGCTCTGTACTGATAGTGTGGAGCCTGCTTGGGATCCTCTCTCTCTCCCTCCCTCTTTCTTCCCCTCCTGCTCTTGCCCTCTGCCTCTCTAAAATAAATAAATAAACTAAAAAAAAAATCCTTGAATTTCCTTGGTTTACAAAAGTACATAAATTGTACAGTTTTATACATTTTTTTCATCACAATAAGTGCCCTCCTTAATCTCCATTCCATTAGACCCATTTCCCGACCCACCTCCCCTCTGGTAACTAGCAGTGTGTTCTCTATAGTGAGAGTCTGTTTCTTGGTTTGCCCCGCCCTCTTTAATTTTTTTAAGTGAACTCTCCCCCCCCAATGTGGGGTTCAAACTCATAACCCTGAGATCATGAGTCACATGCTCTACTGACTGAGCCAGCCAGGAGCCCCTGTACCACATTTTCCTTATCCATTCATCTCTCAATGGACACTTGGGCTGCTTCCTTAGTTTGGCTGTTGTAAATAATGCTGCGATAAACATAGGGGTGCGGGTATCCCTTTGCATTAGTGTTTTACTTATTTGTTTGTTTATTTGGTAAATACCCAATAGTGCTATTACAGGATCGTAGGGTACTTATATTTTTAATTTTCTGAGGAGCCTCAATACTGTTTTCCATAGTGCATTCCCACCGACAGTGCAAGAGCGTCCCTTTTTCTCCACATCCTCACCAACACCTGCTGTTTCTTGTGTGTTTTTATTGTAGCCATTCTGACTGACAGGCATGAGGTGCTCTCTCCTGGTTTTGATTTGCATTTCCCTGATGCTGAGTGATACTGAGCATTTTTTCACATGTTTGTTGGTCTTCTTTGGAGAAATGTTGGGTCATTCCTTTTTCACATTTTTTTTTAAATTTTTTTTTCAACGTTTATTTATTTTTGGGACAGAGAGAGACAGAGCATGAACGGGGGAGGGGCAGAGAGAGAGGGAGACACAGAATTAGAAACAGGCTCCAGGCTCCGAGCCATCGGCCCAGAGCCCGACGCGGGGCTCGAACTCCTGGACCGTGAGATCGTGACCTGGCTGAAGTCGGACGCTTAACCGACTGCGCCACCCAGGCGCCCCTTTTTGCACATTTTTTAATTGGGCTGTTTTTTTGGGGTGTTGTGTAAGTTCTTTATAGATTTTGGATACTAACCTTTTATCTGATAAGTCATTTGCAAATATCCTCTCCCATTCCATTGGTCGCCTTTTAGTTTTGTTGTTTCCTTTGCTGTGCAGAAGCTTTTTATCTTTTATTTTTTAAATGTTTATTTTTGAGAGGGAGACATAGAATCCAAAGCAGGCTCCAGGCTCTGAGCTGTCAGCACAGAGTCCCATGTGGGGCTTGACCTCCCGGACCACGAAATCATGACCTGAGCCAAAGTCGGACAGCCCCCATACATCAAACTGTTTAAAACTGTATGGTCAATTAAGCTTCACCAAAGCAGGAAAGAATATGAAATGGGAAAAAGTCTTTTCAACAAATGGTTCTGAGAAAACCGGGCAGCGACATGCAAAAGAATGAACCTGGACCACTTTCTTACACCATACGCAAAAGTAAACTCAAAATGGATTAAAGACCTAAAACGTGAGATGTGAAACCATAAAAATCCTTGAAGAGAACACAGGCTGTAATCTCCCCAGACGGCAACTGAAACAACTTTTTTCTAGATATGTCTCCTGAGGCAAGAGAGACAAAAGCAAAACCCAACTATTGGGATTTCATCAAGATAAAAAGCTTCTGGGGGTGCCTGGGTGGCTCAGTCGGTTAAGCGTCCGACTTCGGCTTAGGTCAGGATCTCACGGTTCATGAGTTCGAGCCCTGTGTTGGGCTCTGTGCTGACAGCTCAGAGCCTGGAGCCTGCTTCAGATTCTGTGCCTCCCTCTTTCTCTTCCCCTCCTCCGCACTCTCTCTCTCTCTCTCTCAAAAATAAACATTAAAAAAATTTTTTGATGTATGTATACACCCATGAAATGTCACAGTCACTGTGGTGATATAGCCATCACCCAAGAAAGCTTCCTCGCCACATGGTTAATATACAGAACAGCTTTATTGAGCTAGAACTCACATACTTACAATTCACACATACTTACAATTCACCCACATAAGGGTATAATTCAGTGGTTTCTGGTAGGTTCACAGTCATGCGTGCAGCACCACAGTCTATTTTAGAATCTTTTCATTCTCCTCCAAAGAAACCCCATACCCATTAACAGCTGCTCCCCATGGCCTACAGGTGCCCCAGCCCTGAGTTCTTTCAAGAGGATTCCAAGTCCATCTGTACTTTCTGCTTAAATTCCCTCCAGCTGGTCTCAACCCAGGCCCTGTGGGCAAAGCATTGTGTGATAGGGACAGAAACTCCCCCGCAAGCAATAGGAACTGTCAGCTGTGTGGCTGACCCCAAGACAGGGATAGACCAGCCCTTTACTGTCCACCTGCATGTTCTTGCCGACCTTGTGTCACATTCTTATATAAACCTGGAAGTGGGGCACCTGGGTGGCTCAATCGGTTAAGCATCTGACTTCAGCAGCTCAGGTCATTATCTTGCACTCAGTTTCTGGGTTTGAGCCCCGCATTGGGCTCTGTGCTGACAGCTCAGAGCCTGGAGCTTTGAATTTTTTTTTTTTTAATGTTTATTTATTTTTGAGACAGAGAGAGACAGAGCATAAACGGGGGAGGGTCAGAGAGAGAGGGAGACAGAATCTGAAGCAGGCTCCAGTCTCTGAGTTGTCAGCACAGAGCCTAACGTGGGGCTCGAACTCACGGACTGTGAGATCATGACCTGAGCCGAAGTCGGATGCTTAACTGACTGAGCCACTCAGGCGCCCCTAGAGCTTTGGATTCTGTGTCTCCCTCTCTCTGCCTCCCACCTCAAAAACATAAATAAACATTAAAAAAACAAAAAAACATTTCAACCTGGAAGTATCTTCAGCACTTAGGGGACAGTCTTTGAGACACTAGTCCACTGTCTTCCTGGTGTCGGCCTCCCTGAAATAAAATCCTTTCCCGTTTTGCCACTGCTCATTTATCTGCCTTTAAATTCTGTCAGCAGCATGTGGCCAAACAGCATGTGGTGTTTTGGGGAGCCCCGGAGCCAGCACCCCTGCGCCCTGGCTCCACAGTGACCCATCTACCTCCTGTCTATGCATTTGCCTATTCTGGACATTTCGTATATGTGGACTAGACCATAGGCGCTTCCTTTGTGACTGGCGTCTTTGACTTTGTGTTCAAGGTTCATCCATGTTGTATCGGTTCTGATGGTTAAGTATTTGAGGAGGTGTCCGAATGCTTCCCAAAGCAGCTGCACCATCGTGTGTTTCCATGAGCTGTGTATGGGGGTCTAATTTCTCTTTATCTTCACCAACATTTGTTATGATCTTTTTTTTTTTAATTTATTTTTGAGAGAGAGGTTGGGGGGAGGGGCAGAAAGACGGAGAGAGAATTCCAAGAAGTCTCTGTGCTGTCAGCATGAAGCCTGCCCCCAGGGCTCCATTTCAGGAACCATGAGATCCTGACCTGAGCAGAAACCAAGGTCAGGCACTTAACAGACTGAGCCACCCAGGAGCCCCTGTTATAATCTTTTTAAATGTATAGCCCCTCAGGGAATACGAATTCTATCTCATTGCTGGGTGGGGAGGGGCGGGTGGGGAAGGCTTTGATTTGCCTTCTCTGACAGCTAATGATGTAAACATTGTATCAAGTGCTTATTGGCCATTCACATATTTTCTTTGGAGAAATGTCTTCAGATGCTTTGCCCATTTTTAAAATTTTATCAAGTCATAAGTGAGTGTTCTTTATATATTCTCGTACAACTCCTTTATCAAATAAATGGTTTACAAATATTTTCTCCCTGTTTGTAGGCTTTTTACTTTCTTGATGGTATGTTTTAAAGCACAAAAGTTTTAAGATTTGATAAAGGCTAATTTATGCATGGTGACATTGTGATTTATTATAAGAAATATATATTTGGTCTCACAGATTCCCACACTTGGGATTCTGGTGTTGAGACTGATAAAGGTGTCCTTTGTTATGGTGATGAGGTGACTTTTGAAAAGCCCTTAAGGGTGAGGGCTGGTTGCCAGGGGCTCCAGCCACGTGTTTAGAGCTGGAACTTCCAAACCCACCCATGACCTCCAGAGACAGGCTGGGGCTGGAGCTGCAAACTGCCAGTGATCACCGACCTAATCAGTCATGCCTATGTAATGAAGCCTCCTTAAAAACCTAAGAGACAGGGTTCTCAGGCTTGCCAGCCAGTGAACACATGAAGGTTTGGGGAGAGTGGCGGCCCTAGAGAGGCCCCAGTTTTTGCCCCATGCATCTCTTCCAACTGGCTGGTTGCTGCATTATATCCTTTTATAATGAGCCAGTGATCAAGTGAGTAAAATGCGTCTCTGAGTTCTGTGAGTCGTTGTAGTAAATTAATTGAACCGAAGGAGGGGGTTGTGGCAATCTGATTCATAGCCAGCCAGTCAGGAGCACAGGTGACACTTGGGCTTGTGACTGGCATCCCTTTGGATGTCGGGGACAGACTTGTGAGACTGAGCCCTTAACCCGTGGAATCGGATGCTGTCTCCAGGTAGAGAGTGTCAGGATTGAGTTCAATGCTCCAACACTGACCTTGTGTCTGAGCGTCACTGGTGTTTTGGTGTGGAGAACCCCGCCCCCAAACACGCATGCCCTTTGGAATCAGTCTTTGAACTATTCAGATGGTGTCAGAGAAGTGGGATTTGCTAGCTGGGCCCTGGCTCCCAGAAGCAGTGGTTTGGGAAGAGAAAAGAAGGCATTCCTGGGTGGCCACGTGGTCACCCTGGGAGTGGAGCTGCAGGCATGTGGCCCCCAGCTACTAAAGGCAAAGTTACCAGTGGAATTCGGAGATACATCCAATCTTGGGTATGTGTGTGCGTGTCACTGGATGCATCGGGAAATGCAGACTAGTAAGAGAAAGGCAAAGTAGTGTTCCCGTTGGTTCTTGTTACCTATAACAGCTACCCTAAACACAAAAGGATGCCAGGTCCAGCCTTGATTCTGGAGCAAGCTGGGATTTCCTGGGGGTCTGAGCCTGGGCCATGAGCCTCAAAGCCACCCCCGAGGGGAAAGTACACAGGACAACAGAAAATACCTCTAAGACTTGGGTCACGGAGAAAGTAGTTGAAGCAGAGGGTATAGTCGGAGGACCCCTCTCCTTTTGTGGACCCATCTCATCAGCCTCCTGGGAGACTTTACCAAAGCGGACCCAGAGAGTAGCCTGTGTGGGGGTGGGAGGTGTCTGGCCGTGAAGGCGGCAGGGTGGAGAGCAGGTTTGGATTGATGCAGGACCCAGGGCTCTCTGGGGACAAGCACAGAGGGCTGTGTGCGGTCCAGACACTCAGAAGGGTGTTCTCGAGGGGAGGGCCAGCCTGTAAATCATGTTTACCCTGAGACGGGGGGACTAGCCATCCCCCCATAAGTGTGAGTGCAAAAGCAAAAAACAGTTCCGGAAGCTGTATCAAATTTGCTGTCTCAGCTTCTTCCCCTCTGGGGTCTGACAGATGCTAATAAAAAAGTTAGGTTGATTAACATTTATGTCCAATAAACTTGTATTACTTTGAAATGCGAAGAAAGGTGGATGTTATCAAATAGCCCTGCATGTTACTCATAAAAGCAAAAATTTGGAAATACCTAAGTTCCCCAAACGATGTATCTGTAAAGTAGAATATTAAGCACCTGACGTTCATGGGAAATGAGGCAGGTAGGCTACAGCTGTCTATATAGAACATGACCTTAATTTTACTAAAAGCAACCACAGAAATCCCACATACACAGAGGACCTTGGGGATCTTAGTGAAATATTAAGGGATGGTTGATTTGGGGGCGATGGGATTATAGGTGTTTTAAAAGCGTTTTAAAAATACATCTCAGTATGGAGGCGCCTGGGTGGCTCAGTTGGTTGAGCGTCTGACACTTGATTTCGGCTCAGGCCATGATCTCACGGTTCGTGAGTTCGAGCCCCACGTCGGGCTCTGCGCTGACAGCCGGAGCCTGCTTGGGATTCGCTCTCTCTCTCTCAAAATAAATAAACAGTAAAAAAATAAATTCCCAGGATTTTCCTATATTCTTTAGGGGGTATGAATTACAGTACTAGCATACTAGCCCCCCACAGGTATCACCTCCGGGTTAAGACCGAGTGGCTGTGGAGGAGAGGCTAATGGTAGCCTGGGGGAGGGGAGGCGGTAGCTGGGCCAGCGCACGAATCACCTGGAGGCGCTAAAGGGTCTTGGTGAGCTCTGCCGCAGGTGTGGCCTGGGTGCCACCAGGTGATTCTAGGATGTGGCCGGCCTCCCACCGGGTTCCGGCCAGGCCTTCGGGGTCGAGGCTGTCAGCACGGCAACAGGAGAAGCAGGACGCCGGGCGGCTCGGCCACTTCATGGCCACAGCAGCCCTGGGAGGTGGAGCCCAAGCCCCGCATCCCGCCCGAGCCACGCAGCTCCCACCACGGTTTGTAAACTTCGTGAGCAGCCCGAGTGCTCGTAGAGATCTGTTTGCAGAACGAGGGGTACCCTCTGTGCTCACTGCTCCCAGGGGCTGGTATATGGGAGCTCCTTCCGACGGTCACCCTCGTTTTTCCTGCGCCCTCCCCCACCCCGTCTCCCCTGCTCTGCTGCGCGGGAGGGTTAGGGCACCCGGCGTCTTGAGCTTAGGTATGCATTTGAGACTCTGACTCATTAAACCTGGGTTTGGCCCGGGGAGATGCGTTTTAACATGCACCCCGGTTGTTCGAATGCAGGAGATCCAAAGACTGAACTCTGAACGCTGGTCCAAGGGCAAACCATGGGCTGCCGGTCAACACGTGTGGGTTTGACACTGGCTGTGGCCGGACCAATTGCCCAACTCAGTGAGCCTTGGGGGTGGAGGGGTCATCCACAGGAAGGGAGCCTCAGAGCCCTCCAGGGTGTCAGGATGGGCGGGATCGTGAACAGGAGGTCTGTGGGTGTCCAGCCAGTGAGCGCCCCTCACCCTGTCAGAGCCCTCCCCAGTGTGGGGGGGGGGGGGAGGCTCATCCCAAGGAGACAAAACAGTGACAATGACCCAGGTGATCTGCCACAGCATGGGAGGCCTGAAATGGCAGTCAGTGCTCACACCTGGCTGTTCCATCCTTAGAGGACGGAATGATGTGAACTTCTCAAGCTCTACGCCTTCATCTTCCAGTGCCTTCCTGCCAAGCAGGAAGAAACAATTACTTTTCTTACAAAGGGGTAGATGCCATCATCCCCATTTTCCAGGTGAGGAAACTGTAGCTCCGAGAGGTCAGTGTGTTGGCCCAGGACACAGGAGTGGGGGGCACCAGGGTGGGAACTTGCATCTGCTTCCGGACCCCAGCAATCCAGTCATCCCTGCTGCCTTCCCGGGAGCTGCTCTCATTCTGGTGAGGGCCCCCTGGGCTCCCTGGTCCCAGAGAGAGGGGCAGAGCCGTTGGGCCTACTTCTGGCTGCAAAGCCTAGTGGGGTTGGGGCTCAGCTGCTTTGGAGCGGAGGGGCTGAGTGGCCACCACAGGACCTGGCAGTTGGACGGTCCAAACGGGGTCTCCCAGCAGGGAGGGCTTCCCCTGAAATCACTGGCACTGAAATTGCTGCCCTCTAGACCGGCCTTGTTGGCAGAGAAGGGGCGGTCCCTACCTGCTCAGGCCCCAGGACTCTCCACCTGTCTTTATTCCCAGCACTCCTGCCTTGGGATGAGGATGTGGACAAGGTGACCTTCAGCCCATTCCCAGGAGCAGAGGACGGGGCTCAACCTTCTGTGCTGGCAAGCTGGGGGGAGAGATGAACAGTCTCAGAGCGGGGAGGGTCCGGCCCACGGAAGAGCAGACCAGTGGGTTTTAGGTGTAAGGCACACAGGAAAGGGGCTGGATTTTCCTTGGCTGTCAGGGAAGACTTCCTGGAGGAGGAGACAATTCAGCCACACCAAAGGAGGGTATTGTGAACCAGGCAGAGGCCCAGAGACAAGAAGGCGCTCCGAGCAGAGCCCTGTGCTGGTGTCCGAGCCAGGCTGGTGGAGAAGGCCTGTCAGCCCTCCAGGGGCCCTCCGGGTCAGGTCTGGACACTGTCCAGCACGAGTGGAGGGCTCCTGATTCGCAGGCCGGAGGTGCAGAGACTCGTGCATTAGGCCCGGGAACAAGCATTCAACCTTCCTCATCAAATCCTCACAGCAAGTCTGCCCGTTAGATCCTGTCTGTCCCTTCTGAAAGGGGAAAGGGAGATATATTTTAAATAACTTGCTCAAGGTTGCCCTCCCCAGTCTTTGTTCACAGCCCCCTCAAAATGGAGTGGGGGCCCCCCACTTGGCCCACTCCTGAGATCCTCACCATCCCGGCTCCCGCAGAGAGCATTGTCTGGGGTGCCCAGAGTCCTGCTCCGAAGAGACCAAGGCCAGGCTGGGAGGGAGCCAGGTTGCCCAGGCAACCGTCAGCTGCAACTCAGAGGCTGGGGGGACCGGTGGGGGTGGGGTGGGAAGTGCAGAGACCCTCAGGCGGGAAGGGGTGACAGGAGGGCTCTGTTCCAGGAGCCACTTAGAGCCAGCCCTGCCCCAGTCAATTCTCCCACAGAGGCCCTCCTGAGTCTCCCTCCCCTTCTCCTCCCTCCGGAGGGTCCACGACCATTTTGCAGGAAGGAGTGTCACAAAGGACCCTGGGTGGGAAGCTGCCCAAATTTTGGAGCTGGGTCCTGCAAGTGATTACCATATGAAAAGAGGCTCCCAGGGTCTGGGGAGGAAGCCAAGCCCTGACCCCTTTCCCACATGGGACACCTCTGAGGCCACCTCGGGTGGCGGGAGAGGGGGGGCGGTGGGCGGGAGGGGTGGCAGAGCAGTGTCTAGGTCCTCCCTCTGGGTGGTCCGAGATCCCTGAAAATGTGGGGGCAACATGAAGGAAAAAGAAATCTCAGAATCCAAGGACAGGAGGTGTGGGGAGCGGGGCCTGGGAGGTGCTGCGAGCTGGAGCGGTATCTGGTCCCAAGGCTACGCCAGGGATGAGGCCATGGGTCCCCCGGCAGTGAAGGGACTTCTCCGTCTTGTTTCTGATGCTCTAGCGCTCCGTTCAGCTCAGCTCTGCTGTTACTGCTTTCCAGAAAATAACAAAGCCCGTGCACTGTATTTTTTTCTTATATTGCAAGCTCTTTTCTGGAGTTTTCTTCCCGGATTTCTGGCGCAGATTTTTGTCCTGTTGCATTAGTTCCCACGCTTCCTGTAGAGCAGACCCCTAAGCCGCAGACCTCTCCCAGGCAGCCTGTAGCTGGCCGGCCACCCCTGTGCCCAGGCTCTCCCTGGGGCGGGGGAGCCTCACCCCAAGGCCAGGTGGTGGGTGCTGTGGCTGACCCCAGAGCAGGCTGAGGCTCAGCAGCGCCGCTCACTGGCAGGTCCGGACCGCGGTTTGCGCCTCCAGTGTCCTGGAATGAATGAACCTCCTCCCTGCTGTGGCCTCCCAGACAGAGCCTGCCCCTGGAGCGGAGGAAGGGAGGGCCTGGGAAGTGCCCCTGGCCCTGCGGAGGGTGTCTGGGTGTGGGGCGTAGGCCAGCGGCGCCCCCCCCCCCCCCGACCGCCTGCCCCAGTGAGTGGGCGGGACGGCCCCTGGTGCTTCCCGGACTTGCCGGGAGGCAGCGACCGCTTGGCAACAAAAGACTCTTAAGATGAATCTGTGCGCTCCCACGTCCTGGCATTCGGGCAGGACCCTCTCCTTTGTGGGTGTCAGGTGGGGAGCGGTAGTCAGGATCCCCGAGGCTCTAACCCCGCCTTCTTTGCAGGACACCACACGGTGTGGCCTGCTGGGTGTCGGGTGCAGCCTTCGGAGTCTTGCAGTAGGCAGCCAGCAGTTTGGGAAAGGAAATGCCTCGGCCTGTGCATTTCTGCGGCTTCTCAGTGAC